AAGCCGAGCACGGGCGTATAAAGAGTTTAGCCTTTGAAGTTCAGCCCGGATGCATTTTGAAGGCTCGTTCCTATCTACGACGGAGTTCTTTGAGTTGTGGGGACGAGAATCGATCGGGACGAATATATATTGTCTCTAGGGGGCAACAGACATCGTAACAAAAGTCAAAGTAACTATTTAGTTGATCACAGAAAACGGAAGGATTGGGATCGGAAAAGAAAATAAGGTCGGAGTATCTGATCATTTATCTTAACATCATGAGGTTTTCTGGAGAACGCTGTCTTACTTGAAGTTTGTGATCATGACTTCGAGTAAAGAGACGATGGTTCGTTCTGCTAAAGACGACAGGGGAAAACATCAACATAGAATGATCAGTGGGGGGCGAGGTTCTACAAGAAGTACATTGGGATGGTTGATAAAACCCAAATCCAGATGCGCGTCAAACCTGGTGGGAAAGGAAACAATGTCTTGAAGACCTAAGGTGGTTAAGAAACGGGTATCGAAATTATTGAAGTCCCCACAAGTGATACAAATAGAAGTATCTACGAGTTCAATCAGTGTAGTTGAAAGAGAATCATAAAAATCATTAAGAACATAGGATGAGCAAGAGGGGGCTATGTATAATTTTACAAGAATAAGTGACCGAGAAAAACTCAAATTTCTGGGCTTAAATTGAATTGCCGATGCGTTTACATAACGCGTGGAACAAGTAAACACATTTTTGGTCAGATGACACCACTGATTTTTAACGTACGTGATAACGCCACCTCCCAGTCGGGAATAAGGAACAGGACGATCGACGCGATAGCTAGCGAATCCATCCAGGTGAATTATCTCATCCTCAATTTCATTGTGGAGCCAACTTTCTTGTAGCGTGATCACAACTAGTTGGGCATATTCCCGTTGCTTGATTAAGCTGGTGAGATCGGCCATGTTTCCCATAAGAGATCGAACGTTAGAATTGAGAATGATGGAAGCACACAAGCGGGAGATGGTTTGCCTCCGAAGGGCAACTTTCCAACCGCCTCGATGCTTCCTCAAATTTTTCGAAAGCCTTCTGAACGTCCGTTTGCTTCTATTCCTTCTAGTCTTCCCAAAACAGCTTGTCGCTCCATATTTAGTCCATTTCTTGGAATGCATGAAATCGCGAGTGTACATGATCAAATTAGTCATTAGTCTAGTAGCACAACAGTTGCCTTGGCAACAAAGGTAAAAGTTCATGCAAGCGATACAAAAACCACACACACTTAGGAATATACAGTGAATAATCGATGATTGTCGCACCGTACAAGACATGCGTCTCGATAAATGTACAGGCGTCAACATCAAGTTA